GACGTAGATTTTTTATTTTTTTTTGACGGTTTCACTCACTGTGGATGGGCGGCGGTGCTTGCTGTCTCACCCCTTTACTTGGCATGTTTTCTCTTTTCCATACTTTTTCACACGCACGCTAGGAGGGAAGTTACTATCAAGCGCGAATCGCTAGTGTGAAATTTGAAGGCTCTGAAAGGACCAACAGCACACACACACCGCCCACACACAAATATTTATATGCTCTCACGTGCTGCTGCAGTGAAGGCACCCCGTACACACAACCGTCGCCGCGTGACCGGATCCAGCGGAAGGAGGAGGGAAGGAAGAGAGAGTGAACTCCAGAGGCCCAACATGTCCCGGCGTGTGTTTACTTTCACGGTGCTGCTTCTACCTTTCATGATGATCTGCTGCGGCAGTGGAGCTGTACCCACTGAGGGCACTGATTCAGAAAATGATAGCTGTTTCACCATTGGGATGATTTTGGCTGCTACAGGGGATGAATATGATCCCACAGAAGAAACTCTCCCACCAGAAGCAACTAACTCAGCAGTAGCCGCCCCAGCAGAAGGTAGCAAATCAGTATCTTCCCCAGTAGCGATTCCGGCGTTATCCGTTACCGCAATCAGTTCTCTATCCGTTGTTGACGTGAATGGTATGATTGCCGTCATTGCTCAAGCCGACCACGAAGATGGATCAAGCACTGTTTTGGCAAGAATCATTGAACCCACCGAAGGGGGTGCGGTGTGGACCTTACCAGACTCCAGTGCGAATAACCCACAAACACATTATGCAGAGGGTACTGAGAGAAGGAAGGGTGCACTTTCCCTCTTTAACCCTACTGCGTTTTCAAAAAACAATAGCTTGTACCTTCTTCTTTATGCTGGGAAGGAACCACGATCACCTGAGGGAGCTGTGCCAAAATCAGAATGCCTGTACCCTTGGCTCTTTATTGGCGAAATTAAAAGCATGGACGCGAGCGACAAGGAAAAATATAAAAAAATTACCTGGGGGAATTCCAGCTTGTTGAGCTCTGAAATTGCTGCACTGTTTCAAGGGAGGTCGCTTGAGTATTTTTCTGCCAGTGGAGGCACAGGTATCCTAACGCAGGACGGCTCACTTGTACTTCCCATAAACGGATGGACAAAGGATAAAGAGGAATTCTCACTAATTCTGTACTCTGGTGGTCCTAATAAAGACTGGAAGCTTTCGAAGGGGTTGCCTAGTAGGTATTTTGCTCCCGTGATTGTCGAGTGGGCGAATGGGAGGCTTTTTATGATCATCTCATGCAACGATGGCTATCGAAAGGTGTACGAATCCGGTGACAACGGGGAATCTTGGACGGAGGCTGTCGAGACACTCTCCCGCGTGTGGGGCAACTCGCATAATCGAACAGGGAAGGGTGTGCAGAGTGGGTTTATTTCTGCAACGATTGAAGGAAAGAAGGTTCTGCTCGTTTCTCTGCCAGTGTATTCTACGGATAACGAAAGGGGTCGACTCAATCTTTGGCTAAGTGACGGACGACGCATTGCTGATATTGGGCCGATATCCTCCACCGACGAAGATATCACTGAAAGCGCTCTTTTGTACAGAGATACTTGGGGTGAGGAGTTGATTTCCGTGTACGGGAGTAGGGATGCAACTGGCAAACTCAGCATTTTTTCTGTGCGCTTGACTGGGCAGCTGGGGCTGATAAAGGGAGTGATAATACGCTGGAGAGAGATGGACAAGCGTGTTTTACAGCTGTACCGTTTTTCGATTGTCGAGGACAGTTTGTCTTCTGTCGGGGCCTGCAGCACGCGTATGCTCATGAATGGATTGGTTGGTTTTTTGTCCGGTAGTTTTGATGGAAGTCAATGGAAGAATGAGTACTTTGGGGTAGACGCAGCTGTTCATGGGGAGGTGACACCCAATTCGGGTGGTGCGATCTTCAAAGGCGTTGGAGCAGGGGCGGTGTGGCCTGTGGGAACACAGGGGCAGAATCAAATATACTACTTTGCAAACACCCAGTTCACTCTTCTGGCGACGGTGTCTATACAGGAGGTGCCGGGGAGTGGCACCATCTCCATTCCTTTGATGGGCGTGAAGATGAACGGCCCCAACAGCAAGCTGGCGACGCTTCTGGGGATCTCCTACAGTGCGGATAAAAAGTGGGAGGTGACGTTTAACGGCGTGAAGGCAACAGCCGAGGGTAGCGAGTGGGAACTGAGGAGGGAATACCAAGTGGCACTAATCCTAGAGGACGGTGAAATAAGCTTTGTGTACGTGAATGGTCAGTTGCTGGGGAGCTCGAAAACGATGCCGACTGGTAAGGAACGGTTACTCGATATCTCGCACTTCTACTTTGGCGGTGACAACGGCGAAAAAAAGGGAAACCGCCATGTGAAAGTGAGGAACGTATTGTTGTACAACCGAGTATTGAGTGCCAGTGAACTGCAATGCCGTCTTCCTGAAGAAGTTGTGCAAACGCCACGGAGTGCGTCACCCACTTCACCTAAAAAGTACGACTTCGGTCCGGAGGACGATGACTTCTATACTGTCTTGTTTCCTGAAAAAGTCTCTGTCTTGCTTTCCAATGCAACGGGGTCGGCCAAGAAGACTGCCTCGGGTGCTGCCACAGTCCCTAGCACTGGCGGTCCGAACAATAATTTAAAGAAAAATGACGACAGCTGCATGTTTTTGAATATTTATGGGCTTTTATTGCTGATTCTACTGTGGATGTGTGCACTTGCGGCTCTTTTTTGAACCGAAGGAAAAACAAAAACAAAAAGAAGAAAACCTAATTTTTTGACCGAACACACGCAAAATCTTTTAAGTTCGTTTGCCCCTTTTTCGTTTTCATTTTTTTTTTTTTTTGAGCGGAACTCCTTTCTCTAAGCAAAAACAATTTTTTTTTCTAGGAGCTTGTGAGGAGAGTGATCGCGGGAGAGCCGGCTGCCTTAATTAATTTATATATCCTGATAAAACGAATGCACTTCTTTATGACGCTTTTTTATCTTATGATTTTTTGGCAAGAACACGACGTTGGGGGATCAGGGAACCGATAGCGGCTGGTTAATTTTTATTTTATTTTGCCATGCCACCCACACCCTTTTGATTCCCTTCTCGCGGTGGGGTCTTGTGGCTGCAGGACCCCAAAGTCTGCCACTTCGTAAGTAGTAAATAAGTAATAAATATATATGTGTCGAATCCGAATAGAGTGAGCGGGCCACAATTGAGGCTAATGGATGATGTATATATGCAATTACTTGTTGTTAAACTTTGGGGATATGATGGATCCATTCTTATTCCATTTATTCCTTTCTTATTCCTATCTGTTTTTTTTTTTTCTTTTCTATGATTGAGAAACTCAGGGTTTGGCCAGCCGCCTGGAAATTTTTCCCTCTTTCTTTCTTTTGTGGTGTGTGTGTGTGTTGGCGTGGTGTTGCGAATAAGTAGTGTGACTGGTTGCGCGTGTCGGGGCATGGTGTTTTTTTTCCGGAAACGACGCACTGCCTCGTCAACATGTGTGTGCTACTGCTCCTTCTTTTCTGGCTTTCTTTTTTGTGAGGGTGCAAAGATAGTGTGCAAAGTGCGTATTTATGCGTTCTGGGGGAGACGGTAAAAAGGGCC